CAAGAGTGCAGCCACTCAGAGGCTAGCCTGCTCCAGGCCTTGATTTGATAATTTACAGAACTGTCCAACTACAGCTTGAATGGGTCCTCAGAAGAAATGGAGCCTAACTTCCCAACAAGTGTAGATGCTGTCTCTGCAATCCATAGATGACCACTCTAGAAAAGAAAGAGAAACATTAATATAAATTTATTTCTGGCTGGGCATCATGACCCATGCCTGCAACCCCAGAACTTTAGGAGTGGTGGAGGCAGGAAGATTGCTTGAGACAAAAAGTTCAAGACCAAACTGGGCAACATAGCAAGACCCCCATCTCTACAGATAAAATAGCCAGACATAGTGGTGCAGGTCCACAGTCCTAAGTACTCAGAAGGCTTAAGCAATCAGGAGGAGTGCTTGAGCCTAGGAGGTTGAGGTTACATGAGCTATGATGGTGCCACTACTCTAGCTTGGGCAACAGAATGAGACACTATCACTAAAAATACATGTATGTGTGTATACAAAAACACCCACACAGTGTTAGGCCATTCCGGGTTTTTTTCTTTTTTCTTTTTTTTTGGAGACAGTCTCATAGTGTTGCCTAGGCTGGAGTGCATGACTCAGTCTTGCACTCATCTAGAGTAGAATCAACTTTGAGATGAGACTTTGGACTTTTGAGTTAATACTGGAATGAGTTAAGATGGGGTGAAACCCCTTCTCCACCAAAAATAAAAACATTTTGCAATGTGAGAGGACATGAGATTTGGGAAGTGCCAAGGGCAGAGTGATGTAGTTTGGATATTTGGTCCTGCTCGAATCTCATGTTGAATTGTAATCTCCAATGATGGAAGTGGGGACTGGTGGGAGGTGTTTGGATCTTGGGGATGGATTCCTCATGGCTTGGTGTTATCTTCATGGTAGTGAGTTCTCAAGAGATCTGGTCATTTAGAAGCATGTGGCACTTCTCACCTGAGTCCATCTCTATTGCTTGCTCCTGCTTTCACCATGGGACATGCCTACTCAACTCTACTTTCTGTCATGATTGTAAGCTTCCTGAGACCTTCCTAGAAGGCAAGTAAATGGCAGCCCCATGACTTCTGTAAAGCAAACAGAACTGTCAGCCAATTAAATATATTTTGAAAAATAAATTACCAGTCTTAGATATATCTTTATAGCAATACAAGAATCAACTAGGCTGGGTGCAGTGGCTCACACCTATGATCCCAGCAATTTGGGAGGCCAAAGAGGATAGATCATCTGAGGTGAGGTGTGCAAAACCAGCCTGGCCAACATTGTGAAACCCCATCTCCATGAAAAATACAAAAATTGGCCAGGCGTGATGGTGCATACCTATAATCCCAGCTACTTGGGAAGCTGAGGCATGAGAGTTGCTTGAGTCCAGGAGGTGGAGGTTGCAGTGAGCTGGGATTGTGCCACTGCACTCCAGCCTGGGTGACAGAGCAATACTCCATCAAAAAAAAAAAAAAAATACAATGGAGATAGAAGCATAGAAGCATTCAGTAAACATTCCAGTTTCAAAAGGGAGAAATTGGCCAAAAGAAAGGAGCTATAGGCCACATACAATTTCGAAACCCAACAGGGCAGTCATTAAATCTTAAATCTACTTTGACTCCATATTCCACATCCAGGGCACAATGGAGCAAATGATGGGCTCCCAAGGCATTGGGCAGCTCTGCCTCTGCAATGTTGCAGGGTTCTGCCTCTGCAGCTACTCTCACAGGTTGTTGGGCACATGTGGCTTTTCCAGGTACAGGGTGCAAGCTGCAGGCGGATCTCATTCTTGGGTCTGGGGGAAAGTTGCCTCCTTCTCATAACTCCATTAGGCAGTGCTTTTGTGTGGGGCCTCCAACCTCACATTTCCCCATGGCATTGCATTAGTAGAGGTTCCCTGTAGGGGCTCTGTCCCTGCTTCAGGCTTCTGCTTGGACATCCAGGCTTTTCTGTATGCCTTCTGAAATCAAACTGGAGTGTGCCAAGCCTCACTGACTCTTGCAGTCTCTGGACTCATAGGCTTAATACCACGTGGAAACTGCTAAGGCTTATAATGGCTTGCTTGTACTCTCTGGAATGGTGACACAAGCAGTATCTGAGGCCCTTTGAACTGAGGCTGGAGGTGGATCAGCTTGAATGTGGGGAGCTGTGTCTTGAGGCTGCATGGGCAGCAGATCTGGGGCTAGCCCAGCAAAACATTCTTTCCTCCTAGGCTTCTGGGACAGTGATGGGAAGGCATACCTTGAATGTCTTAGAAATGCCTTCAAGGCCTTTATCCCATTTTCTTAGATATTAGCACTTGGCTCCCTTTTAATTATGCAAGGGTCTGTAACAAGTGGTTGTCCTAAACCCTGCTTGAATTACTTTCCTGAAAAAAAATTTTCTTCCTCTGCCACATAGCCAGGCTGCAAATTTTCATAACTTGAAGTCATTTCTTTGCTCCCACATCTGAGCATAGGATATTAGAAGCAACCAGCATGCTTTGCTGCCTGAAAGTTTCCTCTGAAAAATGCCCTAGGTTGTTACTCTTTAGTTCAAACTTCCATAGATCCCTAGAGGATGGACAAAATGCAGCCAAGATCTTTGCTAAGGCATAGCATGCATGAACTTTGCTCCAGTTCCCAATAAGCTCCTCATTTTCATCTGAGATTTTGACAGTCTGGACTTCATTTTCTATATCACTGTCAGCATTTTGGTCTTAACCACTTAATCAGTCTCTAAGAAGCTGCAAACTTAGCCTCATCTTCCTGCCTTCTTCTGAGCCCTCCTAAGTATTTCAGCCTCTGCTGGTTACCCGGTTCCATAGCTATCCTGCTTTTTCAGATAAATTTATAGCAACGCTTCACCATTTGACACCAATTTTCTGTGTTAGGCTGCTCTTTCATTGCTATAAAGAAATACCAGAGTCAAGGTAATTTATAAAGAAAAATGGTTTAATTGGCTCATAGTTCTGCAGGTTTCACAGGAAGCATGGTTCTGGCATTTTCTCAGCTTCTAGGTAGACCTCAGGAAGTTTACAATCTTGGTTGAGGGCAGAAGGGAAGTAGGGATGTCACATGGTGAAAACAGTATCAAACAGGAGAGAGAGAGTGAAGGGGGAGATGCCACTCACTTTTAAATGGCCAGATCTCACAAGAACTCACTATCACGCAGACAGCACAAAGCCACGAGGGAACCACCTTCATGATGCAGACACCTCCTACCAGGTCCCACCTCCAGCATTGAGGATTACAATTCAACATGAGATTTGGGTGGGGACAAATATCAACATTATATCACACATGCGCACTAACACACACCCCCCACATACGTTTATTTCTCTAAGCAAAGAGTGCTACTCCACATAGGCAGCAGCTGTTAGTCCTACCTCATTTCTGTGAAAATATCAGGAGTTACCTATACTTAAAATATAGTCCCGATTCCTGAAAATAGTAGTAGGAAGATTAGGAAATCACTCTCTAGAAGAAGAAGGGAAGGACATTTAAATTAATTTTTTCCTAAGTGCAAACTGAATGGTTTCTTGTTCAATAAAGATTTCAACAAATAATTGGCTGTTTTATTTAAAATGCAGTTAAGAAAGAGAAAATACCTTAGGTCCTGGTTAATAAAATTTTTTAAGTTATTGCAGTCCTAGTTTGTTTTTGTTTTCTTTTAAACTTATTTAGTTAGTTATTTTTTGAGATGGAGTTTCACTCTTGTTGCCCAGGCTAGAGTGCAATGGCACCATCTTGGCTCACCACAACCTCTGCCTCCTGGGTGTAAGCAATTCTTCTGCCTCAGCCTCCTGAGCAGCTGGGATTACAGGAATTTGCTACCACGCCTGGCTAATTTTGTATTTTTAGTAGAGACGGGGTTTCTCCATGTTAGTCAGGCTGGTCTTGAACTCCTGACCTTGGGTGATCTGCCCGCCTCAGCCTCCCAAAGTGTTGGGATTACAGGTGTGAGTCACTGTACCTGGCCAAAATTATTTTTAAACTTTTTTCTGCTTATAGAAGTACTTTGTGCTTACTCTAGATAAATCAGGAAGTATAGAAAAGAGTGATGAAGCAATACAGATTACTCATTATTCCTCCATTTACTTAGAGTGAAAGGTTATTAATATTTTGGAGTTTGTTCTAATCTCCCTCCCATGTGTTTGTGTGTGTATGTTGATTTTATAGGAATAGCAACATATTTTGTCGTATGTGTTATCTGCTTTCATTCATAGAAAGTAATTTCATACATACTTCTTAATGCCATTTAATATCATTAAGGCAGATTATTACTGGCTATATATTATTTAGCAGTAGCAGTATATACCACCCAATTTTTGATAGCTTGCAGTGGTAACATTTTACATCAACTGGGAGAAATTGGATTAATTAAGCATTGATGATAGAAACTTTTTTCAAGGCTGAGAATAGGGTTAGGTTCTTACCTCACATTATAGACTAAAACAAATAACTATTATGGTTAAATGTAAAAATTAAAATAAACATTTCTAAATATGCAATAAAGCATAAAATGAAAGACTATTAAATTATAATTTGAAGAATTTGTTTAACAATATAACATTTTAATCAAATTAGGAAAAACATTTGTGACACTTTAATAGCCAATATATGTAAATGGGTAACATAACTAACATATGAAAATAACTACAAATTAGAAAAAGATAAATACTCTAAGGAAAAACTTGTAAAGCACATTAGGAGGCAAATTTCAGAAAGGAAATGCAAAATATTCCATTTCAGCAGCAATCAAAGAAATGTATTCCTCAAATGCCATTTTCTATTCTTACTGATTTATTTTTTTCTTTAAATCACCACCTGACATTACAGATATGAATACTGTTATTCTAGATATACATTTTTTCCCCAATGAAGTATAAGTTACGTAAAAACTTGTGCTTTTATTCATTGTTGTATATCCTCAATAACAGGCCTGTTTTAAGGTGTGTATCAGTCAGCTATTACTATGTACCAAATAATCTCAAGTCTTAGTGCCATGTAACAATAAGTACTTACTTATTGCTCAGTCAGCCAAGGTGACTCAGCTTCATGGTGCAAGTTGGCTTATCCTGCTCCTGTGACCAGCAGGCAGAGTGGGGCTTACACTCTTCAGGAGATGGAATAAATACAAGAAAGTATGACCAACCATGAATTCTCATTTTAAATCCCTCTTACATATCTTCTAACTGCACATTCACTGAAAAAAACCACAATATGAAGCTAATCAAGGGTAGGAAGCTAAAATCAAGGGTAGGAAAGTATATGCACCTATGTACACACATGTATGTACATACATACATACACACACACACACACACATATATAGAGAGAGATAAAAATGTTACATTTACCTATTAATTATTAATATTCTTAATTGCAGTAGGCAATGCTAATGAAAATGTGCAAAAGTGAGGTTTATATCCTTCTTCGGTCCAGTAATTTATTTCTATGAAATGAACAACTACAACTAGAAATGCACTTAACATTTTTTTCTATGAATGTCCATTGCAGTATTATCTCTATTACAAAAAAAATTGGAATTAATCTGCCATTATTCTAAGATGGGTTTTCTTTTCTTACTGTATTTAATTTGACCTAACATAGCCAACATTTCTCATTATTACCTATGACGGCTTGCAACTTTGACCAAATGAGAGATGCATTTTTTCCCCTAGGAAATCTTCTACAACTATTTGAGTTCATTAATTAATAAATCATTGATGAGTATCTGATGACTTTTAAGAATAAATTAGTAATATTCCTTCTGTCCTGGAATTGATCAAACAAACAGATTTCTGGGGAGAGAATGTGTCTATAAAGGTCACAGCAGATAAAAAATATGCAGTGATAGATAAAGAAATATGTTCTATATATTAAAGGGTCCAGACCAAGAACAACTAACTTAACTGCAAGAATCCGGGCAGAACCCTCAAGGAGGAAATGTTAAAATCCATGCATTTTGATAAGAAATGGTAAACATTCACAAGGGTTAGTCAATATCAGTAATATTAATAACACATGATACCTTTGAAAATGTCAAGATTACGTTAATGTATTTTACCCATGGCTTTTAGTGGACATCTTCACCCCCACTTCTGGGGAGGGAAGGGGTTGCCTTCTCTCTGAGTCCAAACCCTCTGGAGAAAATACGAAGTGAGCTTTGTTAAGTGACCCCAACAAGGCACAGGGATGGATTCTAGCTACTTATGGTTCTCAGTCCTGGTTTTACTTTCTATTTTATTGTCCCAAATATATGTAGCAGCAAGAGGAGAAGAGGGTTCATTCATTTATCAAGGTTGGCTGGGAAAAAACGTAATTGTAATTGAATAGTCTTCTCTTATTTCATAACATATAAAATATAAATTGATGGAGATCACTCATTGCCAAAGGCCACTATGACAGGCAGAAGACTATTAAGTAGGTGGCATGGCAAAGCCACTGGGAAGCTGATAGGTACTGTATTTTATTCTTTCTTTTGTTCATTTATTAATATGTTTAGCAAATATTGCAAGAACTATTGGAAGACTGACTCCTTAGTTTCTAAGTTTCTTTAGAATGGTTTAGGATCATAAACATATTTGCTATCATTATCAATTAACACTACATTAATATTGTCAAAGAGGATAGTAAGCTATCTTCAAACCAAGGCCCATCCACGTCCTTGCTTAATGGGTTAGAAACATTGCATCTAAGAAACAGGAGTTCGTTCTCCTGTCACAAAGAATTTAAAAGACCAAATCAGAAATTAAGTGAATGTAAGTATTTTCTTCTTTCTAAAAATATAAACAAATGGAGGGTCACTTAATCCAAAGTACCTTCTACTCCTTTTGATTAATTTTGGGTAAAAGTGGGCTTTGAGAGATGGGCCTAGGACCCCTGATTTGAGCAGCATCAGGAAAAAAAAAAAAAACAAAAAAAAAAACAACTTTTCTTTATCTGGAATTAACTACAAATTCAATTAGAATAAAAATCTTCACCCACCCCATGGAAAAGATTTTACACAAAGAAAAGCAGATGTTGCAATAACATTGAGAGCACTTTGCTTAGCAGTGTATGGAATTTTCCATCTTGTAAGCCCAATCCCTAGTGAAAGATACGCAGAGCCAGCTTCTTTAACTCACAAAACGGCTTCCATTTCCCATGCTCCTTTAATTAGATTTACTTCTTTAACCAAAGGAGTATTGGGTTGAAGGAAGGAAGGGTGGGGATGGAGGAGACTCTGCTTAATACTGGCTTAGCAAGTTTAGAGAAGGATGTAGGGTAAAAGGTGGAGGTCTATTTTGGGGTTATTTTTACAGATAAAGCTTTTCTTATTTATTATGAGTTTGTTCAATTAGAAAAAAATAGCAGTAAAATTAATTGCTGAAGTTTATGCTGAGATCATACCTTAGTTCTGTTTTCAGCTTTGAACAGATTATAGGACAATGAAGCATAAATGGAAATTAGAAAACATTTAGAACAGACATTCCGTAGCACTTTTTCACATTGGGATGAGAAATGTGCAGAATGGCCTATGAGGCAAGTTTATAAATGAAGACAAACCAGGATCACATAGGCCACCCATGGGGAATAGAACACAGGAATAGAAGGGGCCTAGAGGGGCTTCAATGGCCTCTGTTTGGTTTCTGGAAAT